TGATGTCCCATGCCGAGTGGGTCTTGGGAATGGAAAATAAATTTCACAGTGGCTCCGATGGACGACTTTGATATTATTTTGGGATTGGATTTCTTGAATGTGGCGAAAGGCATGCCGATCCCTGCTGCGAATTTCCTTCGCCGATCCCTGCTGCGAATTTCCTTCTTCTGATGGAGGAACAACCATGTGTGGTGCTAGCAATTGTTAGTCCAATTAATGAAAAGAAGCTATTATCGGCCCTCCAGTTCAAGAAAGGGATAAAGGGGGATAAAAAAACATGTGTAGTAATTCCAATCCATAAAGAAGAGACAGAGCCCACTGGCCACCCCAAGTTCATCAATGAGTGATGTTGGATTACAAGGATATTATGCCGGAGCAGTTGCCTAAAACCTTACCTCCCCGTCGAGATGTGGATCACTAGATTGAGCTGCTACCTGGGCCAAACCTCCTGCTCGGGCCCCTATAGAATCGCTCCACCAGAATTAGCAGAGTTGAGGAGACAACTAGATGAGCTCTTAGAGGCAAGATTTATCAGACCCTCTAAGGCCCCTTTCGGGGCCCCAGTACTATTCCAGAAGAAGCAAGACAGTAGCCTGAGACTTTGCATCGATTACTGAGCTCTGAATAATGTCACATTGAGGAATAAATATCCTATTCCACTGATAGCAGATCTGTTCGATCAGTTGGGACAAGCTCGGTACTTCACCAAGCTAGATCTTCGATTAGGCTATCACTAAGTCCGTATAGCAGAAGGGGATGAATCTAAAACAACATGTGTGACTCAGTATGGAGCATTCGAATTTCTTATCATGCCTTTTGGTTTAACTAATGCACCTGCTACTTTTTGTACTCTGATGAGCCTTTTGGTTTAACTAATGCACCTGCTACTTTTTGTACTCTGATGAGCCAGGTATTCTATGAGTATTTGGACAAATTTGTGGTGGTGTACTTAGATGACATCGTAGTGCACAGCAACAGTCTAGAAGAACACAAAGCTCATTTGCATCTGGTCTTTAACAAGCTTCGAGAGAACAAACTGTTTCTGAAAAGAGAAAAGTGTGCCTTTGGCCAGCAACGCATCAAATTCTTAAGACATGTCATTGAACAGGGCCGTGTCAGAATGGACGAAGTAAAAATCCAAGCCATTAAAGAGTGGAGGATCCCGTCTTGCGTGACAGAACTACGATCCTTCTTGGGATTGACCAACTACTACAGGCGTTTTGTATAAGGATATTCACACAAGACTTTGCCTCTGACGGAGTTATTAAAGAAGGGTCTGGCTTGGGTATCGTCGCAGAACTCTCAAGAAGCTTTTGAGAATCTCAAAGGGGCTATAATAGCAGAACCCGTATTGGCTCTTCCAAATATGTTACAGCCTTTTGAAGTGCGAACGGATGCCTCCGACTTTGCCTTGGGCAGCCTTTTGAAGTGCGAACGGATGCCTCCGACTTTGCCTTGGGTGGAGTGTTGATGCAAGAAGGCCATCCAGTAGCGTTCCGAAGCCGGAAGTTGACTGACATCGAGAGTCGATATGCAGCACACGAGAAAGAACTATTGGCAATAGTTGATTGTTTAAAGGAATGGAAGCACTACCTTTTAAGATCGAAGTTTGTGGTGAAAATAGATAATTCAGCTGCTGGCCATTTTCTTACTCAGCCTAAGCTAACTAGTAAACAAGTTAGGTGGCAAGAGAAACTAGCTGAATTCGATTTCTCCTTATAGTACAAATCAGGCTCAACCAACAGTGTAGCAGATGCATTGAGTAGAAAAGCTAAACTTGTAACCTTGAAAAGAATTGTCCATTTATCTAGGTGCCCAGTAGCTACCTCTCTTAAAGACAAAATCCGACCACAGCTGAACAAAGATCCTCAAGCAGTCACAATCTTGAATTTGGCGAAGGCGGGGAAAATGAGACAGTTATGGATAGAAGATGATTTGTTGATAACGAAGAAGAACATAATTCATGTTCCAAAAGCAGGCAATCTTCGAAGACTACTCCTTCATGAGTGTCATGATACTTTATGGGCAGGTAACCCAGGGTGGCATAGAATCTTGGCACTCATCCAACAAGGATATTACTGGCCACAAATCCAACAAGGATATTACTGGCCACAAATGGAGGAGGATGTACAGGAATATACGAAGACTTGCTTGACTTGCCAACAGGACAAGGTAGAAAGATAGAAACTTGCTGGGCTCTTGGAACCGCTACAAGTACCAAATAGACCCTAGGAAAGCGTCTCTCTAGACTTCATCAGCGGCTTGCCCAAAGTCAGAGACTTCGACACCATATTGGTCATCATTGATCGATTTTCCAAGTATGGCACTTTCATTCCCATGGCAAAAACATGTTCAGCGGAGGACATGGCGCGAGCATTTTTTCAATGTGTGGTCAAGTATTAGGGTGTCCCGAAGAGTATCGTCAGTGACAGGGATAGCAGGTTGACGGGATCATTTTGGAGGGAGTTGTTCAAGATGCTCAGCTCACAGTTGAACTTGTCCACCAGCTTTCATCCCCAAACAGATGGCCAAACAGAACGGTTCAATAGCCTGCTGAAGGAGTATCTTCGCCATTTTGTTTCGCTAGTCAGAAAAATTGGCCCACTTTACTGGATATTGCCCAATTTTGTTTCAATGCTCAAAAAATCTCTTCTACTAATCGAAGTTCATTTGAGATTGTTACAGGTCAACAGCCATTGCTACCTCATACTTCATTACACTGGATAGATCGTTTACAACTGGCCGAAACCCGAAGGCATACCCAATTCACTGCAGAATGGAACAAAAATGCAAGAGACGGCTATGGCACAGGTTAGAGAAGGCAGCACAACGCATGAAGAAAATGAACCCGAAGGCATACCAATTCACTGCAGAATGGGAACAAAATGCAGAGACGGCTAGGGCACAGTTAGAGAAGGCAGCACAACGCATGAAGAAATGGCAAATCAAGACCGCCGACCACTCACATTTGAAGTCGGAGATTTGGTACTGATTAGGATCACGTCCGACCAATTCCGGTTTCCCAACCATGATAAGAGATTGATGCGCAAATATGAAGGCCCGATCCCCGTCATTGCCAAAGTAGGGAAGGTAGCTTACAAAGTAGACACGCTAGCTTGGATGCGAGTCCACCCTGTGTTCCACATCAGTCAGCTCAAGCCTTATCATCTAGATGTGAATGATGCCAGCAGGAGTAAGCCGCAACGACATGCCATTCATAAGAAGCCATCCTTTGACAAAGAAGTGGAGAAGGTATTAGAGACTTGCAAGTTGAAAGGAAGTCGACATCAAGAGTATCTAGTGCAATGGAAAAACCCACCGCCGTTAGAGAACACCTAGGAGAAAGAAGAAGAGCTTCACAAATTTCAAGACAATATATATGAGTACTATCAAGGCACCCTTTCCTATAGAAGAGCACTTCAGGAGCTAGATTCTTGGTGACGAGTCGATGAGGGTGTCGACCGTTTGGGTGGGGGAGAATGTAGGGGAGTTGCGAGTGGTTTAAGTCACTTGGATGTTAGAGTCCTTGTCCTGGCCCTTTATAGGTGCCCCTACGCCTATGGAAGGTGCCATTGGTTACCTTATTGTAATCTTGGTTGCCTCGATGTAATATTTGATATATATAAATAAAAATTACCATTTGCCCCTATGTGTGATGTTGTGCTAGGTTTTGCTATGTGTTCCTCGATGATGCTTGAATTGTTCTTAGATCCTTGGCTGGCTTGTTTGAGAGTGTGCCAAGCAAGCACCACACGCTCCGGTCTTGGTGCGTGATACGGAACCGTGACATTTGGTATCAGAACCAGGTTAAGAGCCGCATAGAATGTCAGAATGCACGGTAAAACCCTCCTGCTGAAAAAGAATGTCAGAATGTCAATATTATATTTATACTAGTCAATTCAGAAAAAGAATCAAGTTTTTATAATATGTTATTATCAATCTAATTAAAATCATTTTCAATTTCATTTTCATTTTCTTATCCTCTTCTTTTCATCACCGCCCAAAAGTCCCCACCTTTGATTAATGCTTATGTCAAATAGCATAAAGATAATACCAATCGAATAAATTACTACTCTTCAATTTAATTTCACCTACTTTCACTCAACTCATCAATACACTGAAAATCAATTGATATAACACCAAAAAGTTAGATATTAAATTTTACAATTCTCAATTTACAAATGATTACATGAAAATAAAAAATAAAAAAAATCATTTTATTTTAAAAATATATAGCTATGTTATGAGTTGGTTCATTCCAAACTCTATAATTATTATAAAAATTATTAACTTGTAATAATGATAAGTCAAAGAAATGATTGATGACGTCAAACTGTACTAAAATCAAAATTCAAAAAAAATATACTCCTTATGTCTCAAAATATTTGTCCTTTTTTAAATGTCCCAAAATATTTGTCCACTGACACAATAGATATTCACTTTTCCTTTATACGCCTCGTAGATGGTTTTAAATTCTAAAAATAACTTTTTTTTGCTTTTAGAGGATAATTTTGGAAAAAATATGGATATTTTGTATGACGGAATTACTATAATTAATGTGTTTCTTAGACTCTGTGCAAAAGTCAACATAACAAAATTTTTAGGACAAAAGGAATACTTCCGCTAAATGAAGAATATTATAAGAATATGGAAACACGACCAATAGAGATTAAAGGTCCGATTCTTATAAATGAATAAAATTTCCGTTGGAAGCTCTTATACACCTAATATGGCGCCTAACATGGCGTGGGCGAGCAGGATTAGGCTTGCCCCACTAGGCTAAGGACACTTGTGGTATAAAAAGCCCCACTGGGCTAAGGATACTTGTGGTATATATATATATATATATATATATAAGCCCCCACTGGGCTAAGGATACTTGGCATAATATATATATATATTATATATATATATATATAGAGAGAGAGAGAGAGAGAGAGTGAGAGAGAGAGAGAGAAACATGAGAGAGAGAGAGAGAGAGAGAGAGAACATGAAATATGAGGCCTTCCCACCAAGCGAAGTACAAACCTTGCAGGAGAAAGAGAACAAACTTGGCAATCAAAGGTGAAGCGGGAAAAAGATTACCTGAAAGGTGCACTCAGCTTGCTGCCACACTTATCTGTACAGTCAATCAATTATGGCTATCCCCACAGATACAAACGTCTAGAGAAGCAGCTGATGTTCATATTAGAATCTACAAGCACCACAAAACACTAGGTTTTCTAAGAATCTTTTGAACTTTCTCTAGTCTAGCTTCATTAGATTCTGAATGAACCTGGGACTAAATAAACTAACGAACTTGAGTACAAGCTTCTACATCTATTTTATCTGATATTTTTAGTTCAGCAACACAAAGAGTGAATAAACTTACCATTAAGCAACCTCAAGTTCAAGTATGCATTTCACCAGTTCTGTTTTCCAGTGTATCAGTAGCACAGGCTATCCGGACACGATCAACTAGTGATTTGTTAACCTCTATCCCAACTGCTTTCATTTGATATAGAAACTTAAACGCCTCAATATACAACCCATTCGGACATAGCCCATAAGCAAGGCATTCCAATGTGCAGTTTTTGCCTTGTCAGTAATAACATCAAATACTCTTTTTGCATCTCGAACAATCCCACATTTGCTGTACATGTCAATCAACCCACAATGCACAAAATCATTTGATTCCACCCCAAGTTTGATGGCAATGGCATGAACTTGTTTACCACAATGTCCATCATCATTCATCCTAGCACATGCCTTCAATACACTAGAAAAAGTAAAACTATTCCTCCTCACTCCACTCCTCCCAATTTCCATGAAGTCCTTGATTACCGCATTGAAATACCCTTCTCTACAATTGTTCACTATCTTAGCCGTCCAAATAACTGTGCTACGATGGCAAAGCCATTGAAATACCCTTCTCTACAATTGTTCACTATCTTAGCCGTCCAAATAACTGTGCTACGATGGCAAAGCTGATTAAATATAGAGTTAGAGCTTTCTAAACACCCAAATTTCCCATAGAAGTTCATCAAAGAAACATTAACAGAATAATCATCAGTAACACCTAATTTTAGCAAAAACCCATGTATTTGCGTCCCTATTCCCATATTCAGACTATAGACGCATGCCTTGAAAATGCAAACTATGACAACAACACAAGAAGGAAATTCAGATATGATATCACAAATATTGTTCTGTGATATCATTTCAATGAACAAAATGATAGCCTCTTCATAATAAGAGTTATCCAAATAACCAATAACGATAATAGCCCAAGAGAGGAAGTCTTTTCTATGCGGCATTTTATCAAACAGATTGCGGGCAATATCAAAGTGGCCGAACGATAAATGCATGTAGAGCAGCAAATGGAATAAATATAAGGTCATTTTGAGGCTGCTCTGGTTGACAAGACGAGAATGCAAAAGGAGAGCTCCTCTGGAATCTGATCTCAAGATGCATTCTTTGATAAGGGAAGAGTAGATTTCTGTTGTTATGGGCTGATTCAGGCTATCCATCAACCTAATGATATTTGAGGTTGAGCTTTTCTTTCTTTTGCTCTTGGTGGTGTTGATAGTAAGAGTTTAATGGGTTGAGTTTTTTTTGGAGATTGATCATGTCGATTTGGAGTTCTAGGAGGCAATTCAATAGATGGTTGAGCTTTTTTAGGAGTCCTAAGAGGTAACATTTTGTTTTTGTTGATATTGAGAAAAAGTAACATTTTGATTCTCTGCTTTTTGAAAAAGTTCCTTTTTTCATCATTCACACAACCAAACTAGGCTTGGCCACGTTTCCGGAACCGGCGGTTCCGGTTCCAGATTTTCTGGAACCGGAACCGAACCGTACAGGATCGGTTCCGGTTCCGGTTTGGAACCGTTCGGTTCCGGTTCCGGTTCCGATCCGGTTCCGTTCGACGCATTACAAAACCGACGGTTCCGATCGGTTTTCCTTGCGGAATCGCATTAATTTTTAACATTTTTTAAAATTTGAAAACGGTTTAAAAAAATTTTTTTGATGAACATAAAAAATTTGAAAAAATACACCTAAAATTTTTAAAAAAATTTCCTTTTTTGAACATCTCTAACTCCCTTTTTTTCTTTATTTATATAAAGAAATTAAATAGGTTCGTCTTTACAGTATTTCTCCAGGCGGTACTCTTTTAGCACAAGCGATTTAAAGCTTTTTTGGACAATAATATTAAAAAACCTACTTTTTCACCAAAAACTAAAAGATTTAAATGTTCCATAGAAATCATTTTTGCTAATAATCATTTTTGCTAATTCTTCTTTTTATATTTTTTCAGAATATTTAAATAAAGAAAGGTTAGAAGCGTACCCGGAAATTTGTTGTTGAGACCGATCAACTACTATTTTTGTTGGATGTTTTGCCTCCAAATGCTTCCAAAATGATCCATAGCCGTCCGCTTATTTAAATTTATAAGATTTTCCACAATAATTGCAAATTATATCGTATAATTGCAAATTATATCGTACATTTTCTCACCTTTGAATTTTTTTGTGAAATGAATGGAGAATATGTCGGAACTTTATCTTGCTCTTGTAACAATTTTTGCTCGTAGCTCTTGCTCTTGCTCTTCATCTTCTTAAAATTGCTCATTAAATTCGGATTCTTGAGTTGGAATATCCAAATTTTCATTTGGAAAACCCTCAAAATTACATTGGTCGGGAATCATATCATAGATGTCGTTTGTAGGGATAGATGATTCTCCAATTTTTCCCTTGCCCTTACCCGAATTTGAGTTTCCTCCACTTTATTATGATAATAAAAATATTTTAATTTGGAAAATTGAATAAAAAAAAATAAGAGACAATAATTAATTAAATAAGAGAGGATTATAGAATAGGAGATAGAATAAATGAATAATATAGAGTAGAGTTGTAGTATATTGTATCAGAGATTTAAGTACGAGAGTTGTAGTATATTGTAGAGATAAAAGTAAGTAGAGAGAGTTGAGATTTTTTTTGTAATTAATTTGTAAATAAAAATGAGGTATTTATAATAAAATCCAAAAATTCTTTTTTTCCCAAATTACCCTTAAAGACTAGGCCTTATATAGCCGTTTATAGCCGTTTGAGGGGTTAATTAAGAGATTTTACAACAAAATTTACAAAAAAAAAAAAAAAAAAAAAAAAAAAATTCACAATCTGACAGTTACAACGGGCTAGAACCGCCGGTCGAACCGGCGGTCTAAACCGGCCGGAGAACGGCAGGTTCCAACCGGTTCCTGGCCGGTTTCTGGAACCGCCGGTTCTGGTTCTAGAATATCTGGAACCGGAAAACCGAACCGGAATCTTCCGGTTCCGGTTCCGGTTCGTCCCGGTTTTTCGGTTTCGCCAATCCGGTTCCGGTTCCGCGTTCGGAACCGGTTCGAACCGGCTGGTTCCGGTTCCTATTGAAACCGTTGATTTGGCCATGCCTAACCAAAACCCATAAATATGAGAGAGAGAAGAGAGAGAGAGAAGGACGAGATTCCCGAGAGAGCAGAGAGAGAGAAAGCGGCAGAACAAGGGTAATTGAGAGAGAGAGAGAGAGAGAGAGAGAGAGAGAGAGAGAGAGAGAGAAAGCGGCAGAACAGGTAATTGATAGAGCTGACCAATAACAATCCAAATTAAACAAATCATCCTGCCAAGTTCAATATGAATAATCCGTAGCAAATGATTCAATACCCACAAATGAGCATGATTTTTCTTTCAAAAATGTACCTAATGATTGGTTTGAAGATGTATAAGGAATAGTTGAGATTTGAGGTTCTCGTGATGGATTAGTGTGCAAGATGACTTGTATATCTATATATTCGAATTAATATATAAATTTGATCACATACTTTCGATTATTATCTTTACAGCTCTTTCAAACTTGTAGGTATTTAAATTTTGTGGATATCCACAGTGACATTATACTGGTGGGAAAGGTATAGTTATTATTAAATTATAACTGAAATTCTGCACAGAAGGCACAAGGATAATCGGCCAAAATTTGGAATCAAATTTTCAAATTTATATATTAAACCTCAGTATTCTGATTTTTGGTTGAGCAAAGAGACAGATAGAAGGATAATTGTCTCAAATTGAAATCTGGCATTAACATTTCCAATTCTGGAAGTATCATTACCCTTAATTTAAAAATCTTAAATACTTAGCAATTTATATGATAAAATGCTTGCTTATAACATGTTTTATAAAAAATTAACACGGAAGAAACATATGCAAAATCTTTTAGCAAATCTTATACTGTCTCTGTTTCATAATACTTGTCACATTTGAAATTTCACACAAATGGCAAGATCCTTTAGCAAATCTTGTACTACCTCTATTCCATAATACTTAGCACATTTAAAATTTCGCGTCTCTTTAAAATTGTCTAAGTTACAATTAATTATTAAGTAAATTAACTATATTACCCTTAATTTAATATTGATTCTTTAAGAAAATTATTAAATTGAAATAGTAATTCTTGGTCATATACAGAAGGTAAACATGGAAAAAAGGAATTTATTACTCTGAAACTACAAATGTGACGAGTATTTTGAAACAAGCTATTTTTTTCAAATGTGATAAGTGTTATGGAACAAAGATAATATCAAGCAAAGTGCAGAGGCATTTCCTCCATAATTCAAGCTCATACATACAAATTATGGTGTCACAAGAATTTCCATACTACAATATTATATGAGCAGGTATGAAGAGAGCAACAAAACCAAAACTGATTCCATCAATCAGAAATTGAATTCAGGCAACTGAATCCAAATGTGTTCATTTTCTTGCAATGAACATAATGAAGTTAAAAATAGCAGCACAATTGAGCGTGCGCACACACAGGGGGAGAGCAAAGCTTGCAGAGAAAATTGTAAGCTAATTGCCAGGTCCGATTAATATCAAATTCATACAGCTAGCAAATGGTTTCAGTATCAGTATATGAAGATTTACTAATTCATACGAGAGAGACAGAGGGATGGAGGGTACACAACCAGCAAATATATTTTATTCATTCGAATTTGTAGTGCTTGTCAACTCCTACAGAAACATCCCAAGTGCAACTCATTCCTTTAGGGAACACAACCAAGTCACCAGCACCAATTTCGACGGCCTCATCTGATCCATCAGGGTGTACCTTAACTTTACCCTCCAGAAGATAGCATGTCTCTTTGGCCGAATATGTCCATGGGAATTTGCTTGGAGGGCAACCCCACCTGTTCATTATATATGGTGTAGCATCGAACACATCAAATTCACCATAGATTGACAATTGCAAGATAAATGTACAAGAAAGTTCCAAGAATGTGAAAATAGCAGAACAAATAGTTCAAACAAAAACAATATATAAGAGGAAGAAGCAGAGCATTTTCTTCATCAGAGAGGGGGAAACAAAAAGAATATTACATAAAAAACATAGCTGTAAGTAGTAGCAGCTCTTCTTTTACTTGCTATGTACTAAGAAAAAACAGCATATCTGAGCCAATTTGACATTAAGGCTGAAGCCGTTTTTTTTTTTTTTTTTTTTTAAAAAAAACAGCAATATCTGAGCCAATTTGACATTAAGGCTGAAGCCGTTTTTTTTCTTTTTTTTGTTTTTGTCAGAAAAAACACCATTTTAGATATTTGAAAAAGTATTGATGGAATTATTGCTTAAATGATTTGGAAAACTTTAGACTAAAGTTGCTGTTGTAAAATTTAATTTATTTAAATGACTCAAACCAATATTTTTAAACGAAGGCTTCATTCTTTTCAATAACAGGTTCAAACAAACAATGTCAAATGCAATGCACCATCAAAAATCAAAGATTCTTTAAACTCTTAGTTATAGAAGCAGGGGTAAAATAAAACCCAACAACTTGCGTAAAAATTAGTACTAAATTTTTCTAGTTTGTTTTTGGCAACTATTACTTATTCATAGGGGAAAAAAAAATGCAAAGTTTAAATTTTTCATTTCAGTAAAGCCATTTGGAGTAAATTTATTCCAGCAGAAACTTGATAGAAAAGTCTGTTATGTGGTAATCACTAATCATAATATCTTTTTTTTTTTTTTTTTTTGTCAGAAAAACACCATTTTAGATATTGGAAAAGTATTGATGGAATATTGCTTAAATGATTTGAAAACTTTATGACTAGTTGCTGTAAAATTTAATTTAAATGACTTCAAACCAATATTTTTAAAGAAGAGTATTCTTTTCAATAACAGTTCAAACAACAATGTCAAATGCATGCACCATCAAAATCAAGAGTTCTTTAAACTCTTAGTATAGAAGCAGGGTAAATAAAACCCAACAACTGCTAAAAATTTAGTACTAAATTTCTAGTGTTGCAACTATTACTTATTTTGCTATAGGGGAAAAGAAAATGCAAGTTTAATTTCATTTCAGTAAAGCCATTGGAGTAAGATTTCAGTCAGAAACTTGATAGAAGTCTTATGTGGTAATCACTAATCATAATATCTCTTTTACTTAAAAGAAGCAAACATGGATCATTAGTAGCTACATTTGTTTTATCTGTCATTTCTCTTTTCTATTGAAGCCATTAGCCAGATTTCTGTGAAATTGCATCAGAAAAATTTCCAGCAAATATTGAATGAAACTCTTGAAACTAAAATTAAATTTCAATTAGAAATGGGCAAAAATAATCAAAATTCAAATAAGCTCGTCCAAGAAAAAATCTCTATTAGGAAATACTAATGGTATAAATTTTATTTATCACATCTAAGAATGAAACAAAGCAAAATAGTCATAGGTTTTACCCAAATCTAAAGGTTTTCGACAAAATGTAATGTCGATTTATTACATTTGGGTTATTAAAAATCTAAAATTTATCAAATGGAGACAAGAAATTTACATGGGTATAGAATCAATTGCAGTAAAAATTGAAGAGAAGGAGAGTTACTTAGGCCAAGCTCGAACTCCTAGTTCAGTGAGTTTGGACTCGGGAAGGTTCCTAACGATCTTGATTCCAGATTTCTCTATAGTCAAGGCCTCTGCTTTTACAGAAATTGCTGGTGCCGCCATAATCCCTGATCTTCTGGTTCTTGAAGACGATAAACGAGCATCGAATGATACTAGTATACTGCTGCCACTGATGCACGCCATTTCTCGTTTTTATTTTTTTATTTTTTTATTGTTTTTTTTAATTTTTCCCTTTTTATTTTATAGAGTGTTACAATAATAATAATAATAATAATAATAATAAAGAAAATATGAGCCGCTTGTGCCTCATCTCTTTCCATACACAAAATTCAATGGAATTAAACGACAACGGCTATATTATGTGTCGTCTAGAGCAACACCTGTCAAAGTCTATTATTACAACTCAAGGCATTTTCTATTCATAGTGAAACTAGGTGGATTGGCCAGCTATTTCAATGTTTTCCACCATTTTCATAGTTCACTTTTTTAAGTCATATTTTATTGATTTTTGCTATTAAACTGTGATAGAGAAAATTTATTTCATTTAAATATTTTCAGTATCAGTAAATTTATAATTTTGAAATATATTTATAGAAAAAAAAATCGAGCATTTGATGAATTCATATATTTTTTCCAAAAATGACAACATGGACTTTTTTTTTCTAATTTTAAAGAATAATTTGATACTGAAAAAAGTAATTTCTAAAATGTAAATAATTAATCAAATTTGTATTAGTTAAATAAAAAAATAATTTTAAAGAAAAAAATGTAAATTTGATAAAAAATAATTAATCAAATTTGTATTAGTTAGATAAAAGGAAAACCAATTGATTATAAGGGGTGGGTGTCTATAATTTATGATAAGAAGTTGTTATGTGACAGATTTTGGTGCTTGAAATTGGGAAAAGTTTGCTGGCTTTCTCCCAAATTCAATCATAAACTTTTATCTCCCCTGCAAGCTCTCAGGGTGATGATTCTTTCTTTTGGAAGCAAGCTGGATGTGGAGTGTGATAATGCCGCTGTGGTTGATATGGTTACCTCCTCGGACAGTCCTGAAGGTGGTCTTTGTCCTCTGGTTTCTGGGTATTAGGGACCTTCTGTTGAAACCTTGGAGGTGCAAAGTTAGTCATGTGTACAGGAAAGCCACCCTTTTGTAAACAAGTTATGCTGTGCATAATGTCTGAATTTGAGCTTCAAAGCATATTTTGTAAGTTATCTTGTGTAAAATTACATCTTTATGATACTTGTAAAGACCTGGAGTTGTCAGTCAAGACTACTATTATGCGGGAGATTGCACACGAGTCTTGTCGGATGAATTTGACAGCAGAGTCGTGCATTGGATCTCTCTGTCTCTATCTATCTATACACATACACTAATAACTAACTGGTGGTGCAAGTGCCTAAATGAACAATAAAACCAATACACCACTGACCATAACCAGGATTCCCCTTACAAGCCCCATCATCCGTATTCAAATATAAAAATAGTTGTAAAATTTTAGAAACATACTACATGACACTTTCGACGTCATATGTCTTCCATCTTTCTATTACAACCTTGAACTGATCATCCCTTTTTCTTACCTGAAATTGCAAACACCCGAGTTTCTGAGTTCTTGATAAAGCTAATACAGCTCAAAAGGCAAAATAATTCAATAACAAAAAAAGAGATTTATCACATATGTCATTTCCGCAAAAGACAGGCAGAATTTACAACAGACAAAAGTCAAACAATACTCATAACTGGATAATTTGTAGGATTAACATGCTACAAGTAGTGTGTGCATTAACATGTTACATACTACTCGGCACTTTCACACTACAACCCTAACTAAATGACAGGCACAGCCATCTTGTCTATGAAACCCAAGTACATAAAAAGGGCAATGAATAAAGGATATCTGCCATCTAAAGAACTTATAGATAGGCAAACATTATGAAATTCTTAGATATCGTTTTAGATGTATCTAAACTTTCTTTTGAATGCGGAAGTATTGGAAAAACAAATTAATGATTGTACCATCGTAATCAATTATGCAAGTCTTTAGAATGCGTAGGTACTAAAAGAATTACCTCAACTAATGGGCTCTGTCCGCGAAGCAGCATATCCACACTCTTATCTGTCTGCAAAATGATGGGGAAAAAAGATTTGAAATTAATATTAAATGAACATGTGGAATCCAGTAATTACCCTGCAATTACAATACAAATTCACCATCAAGCTATCGATCTGTAAATTCATTCAGCACATGACACATGCCAAAATCCAAGATTAAAGTGTTAACGAGTACCAAAAATAATTTTCTTGTATTCTAATAGGTTCTTGGTTAACATTTGTTTGCCAGTTTTTAAACAGTTTTTTTCTTGGCATGATAGACATGAATGCATGAACGAAACAGATTAATTAATCATTAAACTCTCTGGTTGGTCATCCCAAGACAATAAACAACCATATTAAAATCCACCAATCAGTCCGCAACTACCAGATTCCAATGTAAATAGGGAGCATATTTTACTAAATTGGATCACTTCAATAGCATTGCAATCCAATGCAACACCAGTGACCACACCACCAGCATTACCATATAAAAGTTAACAATAAAAACCTACTTGATTATTTCAGATGAAGAGACCTTACTTTGTACTTGTAGGAAAAAAAAATGAAAAAGAAAGAAAAAGAAAATTGAAAATATACCCGATGCATAACCCAATGATGCCTCTCTCTCATCTCAATCAAGAAATAAAAGGTTGGAGGACCTCTTCTTTCAAGAATACTTTTTTTACTCCCTCTAGATCGGGCTTTCTCATCTCCTAAGGTAACAGGTCGTAATCCCCCAATCTGAAACAACAAAAGTGATGATGATGAATTTTAGCCAGCATTCTAGAAAGGAAATTGCATTATATTGTAAATTCAAACAAATTTCTGGACATGAAATATTAGATCTCATCTATTTTGCCAGCCTGATCTAACTTGTTTGGTCTTTTCACTCCCTTTAGGTGTGTGGTGAAGAAGGGATCTCGGGTTCGAGGACCCCAATCCACCATTAGAGCGAAAGTTGTCACAATATAGGGAGAGTTGAGAAAAGTGGAGTGCTACCCACTCTCATTTAGCATTAGCTGTTAGACCTATTTGGCCTCCCACTGAACCAAACAAAAAAGTGAGGCAAATTAACATCATGTCCCTAAATTTTTACAAAATTCACCTGTTATAAGCTGTGTTGTAAAATCAAACTAATAGTAATTACTAAATGGCCATTCATTTAATTCACCCCAAAATTTTTTATTCCTTTATGACTTAAAATATGGTCTTCTAAGTTTTCGAATAAAGAATATAGTCCCCATTCAACTAAGAATTTTTGGGATCCAAACATGTTATAAACTTAAAAGAATAAAAGATTTGACTTCTTAAACATGAGAAGACTAAACTGTACATGACACTGAATCTCAGGACATCTTTTGCAAATTTTCCTTCATTTTATCCTTAGATATTAAATTCTAACAAAAGACAATAAAATTAGAAGAATGCTAGATGAGATGATCAAACAAAAGTTTACAGTCTAGAAGATCAACTACAATTGTTTATAAACTGCCTTGCAGTATCATGCTTAATTAGTAAAAGAAATTGTGTCCATAGAGAAGGGAATAAACAAATCATTACAACTGTCAATTCACCTTGCAATGTAAACCAGTGCCAAAAAACTAAAAAATAAAAACAGTGAACGAGAAAATGAGATAGACATCTTGTGTGCACTAAATTGCACACAAAAGGTGTTCTCAAATGGAAACTGGAGTCAACCAGAAAGGAAAAAAGAAAAAGATAAACAATGATAAATGGACAACAATAATGAGGAAACAAAAATAAATCTCCAAAGAGGAAACTGCACAAGTTAACATGGAATTCTAATTTGCACAAAAGCATGTAATCCCTTAAACACCTCCAAACTTCAACACTTGACCAATTAAAAAACACATGGCATGGTAAAGCTATAGTTTTCAAATTTAAGAATTAAATGAGACATCTCCTAAATTCCTTTTTTCTTTGCTGAATTACTTTGGTGCAGTAATCCGAAGTAACATCCAATAATTGTAACTAATAATGTCCAATAAGCATTTACAATTCCAACATATTATAACTGATGACTAGAGATGTACAAATCAAGACAACTAATTGTGTGCATATCTACCAACTGGGGGATAGTTTGAACTTCTAAGCAGGAAAACCTTATCTTTTATACATGAATTAAGTGCAATTTTTCAACTAATTTAATGTTTAAAATAAACCTGACCTAAGTGGTCACATAAAAATGAAACCTGGTGAAACATATCCATTGATTCAGTGCAATTGAATTAGTTGCCCATCCCTGTTCGAATGATTCGTGTAATTGATTTTCACACTCTCTAGACCCAACCACGGCCCTCTGTTCAAGTACCTCTTCTTTCTACTCGAGCCTCCCCCGCCCCCACAATCAAAGTTTTTTTAAAAAAATTAACCTATAATATATTAAATTTTTTTTTATTTTACCCTTTAAAATAGTAAATCTTTTCAGTTTTGCTCCCCTTAACTCTTGAAATTTTCTTTATCCCCCCTTAACTTTAATTCTTGGCTCCGTCACTGAACATATCTAATGGCTTTAACAAAATTGATTTTTGGTATCAAGAAGCTGCAAGAAGACTAAGCATAGAGTAAAGAGAGCAAACCAGGTCAGAAAGAGTCGGATTCTTGATTATGTTTTGAAGCTGCTCTCCATGAGCAGTACCAATGAGCATAATGCCTTTCTCAGCAATTGAACGACAAGCAAGAGCTTCAGCTTCTGTGCCTATCTCATCAACAATGATTACTTCAGGCATGTGATTTTCTACTGCCTCAATCATGACCTTGTACTGCATAGATGGTTCCGGAACCTGCATTCGCCTTGCACCTCCTACTTCAGCATGTGGAATATTTCCATCCCCTCCTATTTCATTGCTTGTATCAACGATCACCTATTCCATTTATTAGTGAATAGATAAATAAATAGATAGATAGATAGATAGATGTATAGATCGAGAGAGAGAAAAAGAGATTCAACATACCACTCTTTTGTCAAATTCATCTGACAAGACTCGTGCAATCTCTCGCATAACAGTGGTCTTGCCAACCCCAGGCCTTTAAAAGTTTAACAATAGTCACAAAGATGTTATTTCATAGAATAACTTAGTAAATATGTTATGGAGTTGCAATTTAGACATTTTGTGCATAATAACTTGTTTACAAAAACAAGAAGAAAAACAGTATAATGTTTTTGAACTAGGCATTGAAACAAAAGGGGAAGCTAAACAAGTTGGTGACTAGCTAATGTCCATGATGATTAAAGCATGGAAAAGCTTTCATAATTATTAAGAACAATGAAATTGTAATGTTGCGACTGGATGCCCAGTCATCAAAGAATTCCACCTTAAACTTGAGATTTGATAGACAAAACATGCTACGGAATCAAGCACCGAAATACCTTCCAACAAACAAGATGCTCTTCCCATAATGAAGCAGATCATGAACCATGTCAACATGACCACTAACTGCCCTGCCAACTCGGCAAGTCAAACCCACTATGACCCCTTTCCTACTATGGATTGCAGATATTCGGTGCAAGGTACCTTCAATGCCAGCTCTATTATTTTTTCCAAATTCTCCAACAGAATTTTGAGCATATTCTAGTTCTTGGATTGATACCTAACAAACAAACACCATGAATTGATAATGGAAACTCACTTAAGAATTATTTTATCTCTTTCTTTAATCTCAGTTCTTATTGATAGTTCTTAAATTCAAATAGGTAATTCACATTTTTGTACATCATAATGATCAATTAACATGAAAGAGAAGATAAATGGTTTCTTTTAAGAGATAGAAAAGTAAATGTACTTCATTTATGCCCACAACAGACTGGGGAAAAACGTAAAGATTCAAAGAATGCATTTCACCTTGGTGCTCCTTAAATACTGCTCGCCAAATTCACCTAGATAGCGTGCCTTCGGCAGACGTCCCAGGTCCAATATAACCTTCATGAAGCCATACACAACTATCACTCTAAGCAAGAACAGAATTCCAATTAAGTAGATAAAAACAAACATCAATACTAGGATGATTGCATTTCTGAAAATCTAATGTGCGGTTAACAATTGTGCACAGGATGGTAATGACAAAGTAGCGGTTTGAACAAAAATAAAAATTGCAACTCATCATCTATCCAAACAAACATAACTCAGAATTTAAAAAACTGACCTCTAAGAGTTTATCCCTCTTGGGATCTTTCGCAAGAATGTCACGCAAATCAGATGGAAGAATCTGTCAAAAAGATAATTTTAATTCAAAATGTAAATCAACTAAAAGAAAGAAGTGTAAACACAAGACAAAGCAAAAGCTATAGAAAAAGAAGAAGGATAAAGTAAAACCCAATAAAGAAACCCAATAATTTCCATGTTGAAAAGTAGAAGATGAACGGGGAACCGTGAATAGAACAAAAGAACTAAATAAATTGAGAACTGGGTGCAGACATATACATCCAGGAAAGCTCGGAGATCATCCTCCACGGTTACATGGGCACGTTCCAACGACGACAAGCCATGGTTGAAGCAAGATTGTGCGCGGAGATGGTGCTTGATTTCGTTTTCGAACTTATATGATACGAAGCTTGATCCAATTGTTTTTCTGTTGGAAAGTGAAGAAAATATGGGTTTGTAGGGGAACAAATGTGAGGTGAATCCTCCATTGTTAGCATTTGCAAATGAACAGGGTTTACAGGGTAAGAAATGAAAGGTGAATACTCCTATGTTAGCCCTTGCAATTGATACATTCATCTCAATTTTACGCCTCTGCTCTGTTTCATTGTCTGCTCTGTTTCACTGTCTACTACCCGTGGCCTGTGCTCGGTAATGTATGCTACTGCCTATGAACCAACCAGTGATCCGATTCGAACCAGATTAGAAATAAAATAATCAAAAAGCAGATATATTAAATTAAATATAAATATGTAAATAAATAAATAAAAATATTTTAAAAAATGTACGGTGTTAGTACCTACAAGTTAAATTATATCCGCGCTTCATTGCGGGTTCGTTTGATGTCTATTTTAAGCAAAATTTTTAAAATAAATTAAATATTACATATCATATTTTTTTTTATAAATTTTACTTACTAAATTGGATAATTTCTAAAATAAAATATCATAAATAATAATAATTAATTACTCATAAAATAATTTTAGGCATAAATTTATATATAGATTCCTCTCATCTATATAATATATAAAAGCATAGCAATTTACATTATATGAAAGCTAAGTGTAAATTTACAGAGAAACAGTAAGGACCAACAAGTTTAATTAATTATTAAAAATTAAAAAATCAAAATAGAAACAGTATGTCCAACAATTAAATTTTGATCAATAATTAATTATCACAAACTTTTTCTACAAAATCAATCAAACTAAATCTTTACGTTTTCTACACTAGGGACCAACAGTAATATATATTCGCTGCTTTTTATTTTTTTTTTTATGTTTTTCATTTTTATATTTTAACATTTAAAACACTCGATTATATTTTAACATTTTCTCTCTCTTATTTAGACCAACAGTAATATATATTTAATTTATTATTTCAATGACACAAAAATAAATTAAAAAATATTTTATTTTTTATTGGTAATAAGAAAAAAACTTGATTGATTAATTTGGTGTATGAAGTAGTATCTTATACCAGGAATAAGGTCACATGGACACAGAACACGAGATACGGGAACGTACGGATACAATAATTTTTAAAGAATTAGGATGTCTGCATGCTTAAGACTCACTACACTAAATAAGTAATACATTAATATTTTAAATAAATAAATAATCATTTATAATAAATCATAAACATACATGAACACGAGATACGGGAAACGTACGGATACAATAATTTTAAAGAATTAGGATGTCTGCAGCTTAAGACTCACTACACTAAATAAGTAATACGATTAATATTTTAAATAAATAAATAATCATTTTATAATAAATCATAAATAATCATTTATAATAAATCATAAACATAAAAAAATACTTAATTTATTATTTCAACGAGACAAAAATAAATTAAAAAATACTTCATCTTTTATTGGGCATAAAAAAACATGGTTGATTAGATTAATGTATAGAATAATATCGTATACCAAGAGTTAAGTTGCAAGGACACATGACACAAGATACAAAAACGTATGAAATACGATAACTTTTAAAAAAGTAGGACATTCACACGCTTATAATACACTCAACTAAATAAATAATATGTTAATATTTCAAATAAATAAACAATCATTTATAATAAATCATAAACATAAAATAAAAAATAATTAATTTCTTATTTCAATATAATTAGTTCTTATTTCAATATAATTAGTTAAATTCTCAAAATTATTATCACTATAAAAAAATATATTAATAGTGTGTATGCATTTTTTTGATATAGGTCATACTATGCATAGCTTTTGTATTACGTATTTTATGAAATGTTTCGCATGATACTTAAAAAACATATTTTGGCATTACAACTTTTCAGCATAATTCAATGAAATACAATTTATCATTTTATCATATAATTTTAATATTTTTCAATAGTGTTATAAAGAATTATTTCATATTTTAATATTACTCCGGGTATCGCACGGGTTCTACCAATCATATACATAAAAAAAAGAAAAAATTTTTATTCACGTCAATAACAATGATTTCAAGTGGACAAAACTAAATATTAAGACAACTTATTTACTAAAAAATTATAAAATGAAGATGTTTATAGAATAATTTTTATTAAAAAATAATTTAAAAAAATGAGAAAAAGGAAAATTAATGGTTGGACATTTACTTATTTAAATGACCTTTTGCCATTGAATTTTTATACATAAAATTTAAATAAATTATCAATAAGTTATAGTATTTTAGGAAATAAAACATCAATATATATACAAAGCAGGCATCTTTTCCCTAAAAAGTGTCAAGTGAAATTATTATGTAGTGCCATATAGGATTAGAGAATTTAAGTTATGCCACATAGGATTTCAAAATGCTTTAATTTATAAATAAATTGAAAACATAAAGGCTAAGACATAATAATCAATAATATTGTAAGAAATAATAATCATTTAACTTAATAAAGATTAAATAAATAATTAACATAAAAATAGTCATTTCAAAATCATATTTGACTACATAAATAAATCATTAATTAAATAGAATATTTTATTTTCTATTATTATTATTTATTATTGTTATTGTTATTGTTATTATTATATATTTTTCAAAAATGGTTTATTATCATAATGACAATTCATAAAATTTTTAACTATATTTATTAAATAACTATATTATTAAATTGAATTTTAAACATTGAAGATTCCTAAATTTATTTACTACAATCAATTTAATAAAATTGAGATATTAAAAAATTCTAAATTAAATATTCAAAAATTAATATTATTAAATTATCTATATGTAGTGCACGAAAATTATAACCATAGAACCCAAAAATAGGATTGCATTCTTTTAATTTTCTGATTAGTTGTAAATTAATTACATAAATTAATTATTTGCAATCAAGTATTATACTAAATGATTATTTATTATCATTTGAAATTATTAATAATAAAAACTATAAAATAAAAATTTGATAATTATTAATAATAAAAACTAATAATAAAAATTTGATTAAACAAAGGACTAAATGTTTTGATTTCAATTCAAGTCATTTAAAATTAATTTAAATAAATATTTTCCACAATAAATTGCTTAGTAAATGTGATGAATGATATGACATATATAACAACATTTTAAATATAGTTTTTAAATAACTATAGCTAGGTTATATTTTTTACAATGAGAGTTTTATAATACATTTTATTTTATTTTAAATTTTTAAATTGCAATTCACTAAATAGTTTTAAAGTTGAAACATTTATTATATAGTTTAGATTGGTTGAATTTATTTGCATTTAAAAAAAAAAGATTAGTTGAATTTAACTGTGATTTGAATAATATATAAAAAAATTTCAAATATAGCTTTGAAACAAATACAGTACAATTAGTGTTTTATACTAAAATGCATATAATATTTGTTTTTCAATATAGTTTAACGAGAAAGAAAAAAAGGAAAAAAATATATTCTAGACAAATAGAGCAATAAATTCGAATAATATATTAGAATAATAAAAAATCATTAATAATATTATAATTGAGAAATTTTAAAATTAATAAAAAAAATTATATATTAAAACCATGCATAGCATGGGTATAATGCTGGATAGAAAGTATAGAAAACTAAAAGATTTTGAAGGCAAAATTATTAAAATGCTTTACTTGACACGGTGACTTTCTAAAGATATTTTATGTCGAATTTTAATGTTGAAGTTATTGAAGAAATCAAGCTCTTGAAGACTATGAAGATTAATGAAGATATTTTTAGTGGTTAGTATATTACTAAGTGTTAGAAAATTTTATAAGATAGAGAGAAATTTCCATTATAAGCACAAAATATCTTTTATAACTCTTAAAATTATTTTTCAAATATTCTCAATAAATGTCTTAAAGGAAAAAACTCAAAACATTGCTTTTTACGTTTACCCAAATGAAAAAGATTTTTGAAAAAAATATTTTTGGTGGCTATTAAATGAGTTTCTACAAAAACTATTCTGTTTCTGACACAACTGTCTGTTTCTGTTTTAAAGTAATATAGCTTTCTAAAACAGCTTTTCCATCTTTAAAGTTTTGCATGTGTGTGTGCAATATGTGCTCTGACAACCTTTTTAAATAAATCACATGCACCATCTCTTTAAACTTACATGTCAGAAATATTCATTGCTTTACAGAGTAAACTCCAATGCAATTTATAACGGGATTAACATCCCTTTTGTATAAAAACATTTTCCTATCTCAAAAGTAATTGTTGGCAAGAACAAGAGTCCATTGTTCAGAGATTCAAGTCGTTCAAAGCTCTCTTTTTCAACTCCCTTTATTTCTTTTCTGTTCTTAAAGAAATATTTTTAAGAAAAAAGAAATTTTATAACAACTCTTTTGAAGAACAGTTCTAATCTTATTTTCTGTTTTCAAATATGTTTTTTATTCTTCTTGTGTGTCACATCCATATTTTCTAAACATATCATTAACATGCATTAAATCATTTTTTAGTCTAATTACATATTATTATGATTTAATGATGGTTTTGGTGAATTACAATGCTATAAGGGCATTTTAATAATTTGCTATGTGTAGAGACTGTGTTTTGATAACACAGTGCAATTTATGATAAATAGTTAGAATTTATATTATGCATGTGTGTAGTGTCAAATTCTAGCCATTGGATGAAAAATACTAAATTAAAAATATACCATTTTATAATAAAGACAAAATGGTGTGTAAACCTATGTATTCTTTATCCAACAATTTAAGACTAATGATTTATGCTTAAACTACCATGCAAAGACTTTATGCTTAAACTAACATGCAAAGACCAAACGGTTTTATTTTAAAAAAAAAAAAAAAAAAAAAAAAAAAAAAAAAAAAAAGAAAAAAAAAAAAAAAAAAAAAAAAAAAAAAAAAAAAAAAGAAACACTCTCACCTCACATTACTCCCCAAAACCCCACGCCAGACAAATCTCTCTTCCCTCTCTCTTTTCCTTCTTCTTCTATCTTTTACTTCATTAATGGCTAAGCCTCATATACACCATTTCCTTCATTACATCTTTATATTTTCTCTCAAAAAAATCAATTATATTAGAGGATAAGGCCCCAAAGCTTGGATTTAAAGTCTATTTCTCAAGATTTAAACTCAAAAAGTAAGACTTTTACACATTTTTATTTCTTTGTCTTTTTCTCTCTTCAAACCCTTATATAATCGTTCTCCATGGCTAGTCATACACAAAACATGTCATTTGCGTCTTTTTAGTATAAAAAAAATATTTCGTTTTCGTTTTTATTTTAAAGCTCATTTTTCCTTGATTTAGAGGGAGAGACCTCCAAATCCAAGGGAAAGGAGAAGATTAGAGCATAAAAAGATTTAGGTTTGTGATTATTTTTTTTATTTTAGATATTCTAAGAATTTATGTCTGATTTCTTTGTTTACATGCTTTAAGAATTAATTTTTGAGTTATAAATAAGTCGATCTATGCTTTAAATGTTCAATATTTGTAAATATGTACATTGTGTAAATTTTTAGTGCATATGGGTGTTGATTTGCCCGAATCTAATAATGATTTTTCTTAAAAATTTATGTTAGTTTTTAGTGATTTTATGCTTAAATCTACATGTAAGAATGTTGTAGATGCTAAATATGGATTTTTGTGAAATTTAAATATTGTTAATGTATTCTTCTAAGGTTAGCTAAATCTTATGGTATTATTTTTATGATGTTTAAATATTATTTTGTGCATGTGATATGTAAATATTATAGTGTGATGTTAAAATAATAAAAGGATAATTTTAATAAATTATCGGATTTGATATGTAAAAATTATATGGAGACAGAATATATTTTAAGTATTAAATAATATTTTTATGACTCATGGACTTATTTAGATATGTTCCAAGGACTAAGGAGAAATTTCGCTATGCTTAAGGAGGATTTGGACAAAAAGAGAACTTTAAGGACCATTATGATATTTTGTAAGGACCCAAATGCAATTTGCATTAATTATGGATTAAAAAATAATTTGGGACTTGATTAAGGACCATCATTATAAATTGGACCCTTAAAAGGGATTAATTGTGGACTATGGATAATTTAATATACCATTAGTCTATTTATTCCAATACCTTAACCAAAACTATTCTCTTATTCCTCAGATCCTTAACATCTCTGGCTAAGATATGAACTGGCTCTTCCTCATAAGATAAATCTATATGTATCTCAACCGTCTCGGGAGAAATCACACAAAAAGGATCTGACCTATATCTCCTCAATATCGAAACATGGAATACATTATGGATCCTATCCAACTCAGAAGGTAAAGCTAGTTTATAGGCTAACAGACCCACACGCTCTAGAATCTCATATGGACCGATGAACCTAGGATTTAGCTTCCCTTTCTTACCAAATCTATGAAACCTTAAGAAAGAGTTATCAACCATAGCATATTCCACGTCCCATCTCTTTAGATCAGCATAAGACTTTTTTCAAGCCTTTTTTAGTCTACTCTGAATCAATTGAACTTTTTTATTCGTATCTCTGATCAAATCTGATCTAATGATCTTCCTCTCGCTCAACTCTGTCCAACAAAGAGGTGTCCTAAACCTCCCACCTTACAATGCCTCAAATGGAGCCATCTGAATACTCAACTGGTATCTATTATTATAGGCAAACTCAATCAAGAACACATACTTTTCCCAACTGTCCTCAAACTCTATAACACGGCTACAAAGCATATCCTCCAAAGTCTGAATGACCATCTCAGACTAACCATTAGTCTGAGGATGATAAGTAGTACTGAAGTGCAATCGTGTACCCAAAGCCTCATGCAACTTAGTTCAGAATCTAGAGGTGAACCTCGGGTCTCGGTCTGGAATGATAGAGGAAGGAACACCATGCAATTTGACTATCTCCTCAATGTACAACTGAGCTTACTGATCTAATGAGTAATCTGTTCTCACAGGCAAGAAATGAGCTGACTTATTCAATTTGTCCACTATAACCTAGATAGAATCCTTCTTCTTAGGCGTAAGAGACAATCCAATCACAAAATCCATAGTAATGCGATCCCATTTTCACTCAGACACTAAAATTGGATGCATAAGACCGACTGAAAACTGATGCGCGTTAACCTGTTGGCAAACCAAACATCTGGATACATGCTCTGAAATACTCCTTTTAAATGCTTTCAATTAAAAATAACTGACTTATTTTCTATATTGAGTTTTTATGAGATGTGTTGGGATGATGAGTTGAAAATGTGGAGTTTGTTTTGGGAAAATAAATTTAAAACTATAGTTATGGTGTGGACGGATTATAGTGTGATACTAAATATATAGGAGAAACTCTTATAGTTTTTGTGTGGACGGATTATAGAAGTGTTTTAAATGTTTTTTTTTTGTGTTTTTGTGATACTAAATATATAGGAGAAACTCTTATAGTTTTTCTGTGGACGGATTATAGAAGTGTTTAAATTTTTTTTTTTTGTGTTTTTGTGATACTAAATATATAGGAGAAACTCTTGCAGTTTTTTATAGGAATTCTCCGAAAATTTTTCTAAGTCGTTTTTGTAAAACTAAAAGAAAATATTTTTAAATTGTCAAAGTATGAAGTATGCCGATTTAATACTTCGGTGTTAAATCTAATGTGGCTCTTAAGGTCCTATTTTTACGAAACTGAATTTTTGGTGTCACACTGTGTTTATAGTTGCATTTCTCTCTATTTATATAAATTCGTGTAATCTGTTGTAGGCTAGAGATTTTTAATTAGAAATATTTGTGTACAGCTTGGGTGAAAAGCTATGTTGTAAAAGGTTATCAAGCAACCTTCTCCTTAGAAAGATTCTAATGTCTTGATATGAGTTTTCTGTTCTCTATAAAACAGAAGGGTAGAGATCAACTAGAACATTTGGAATCTAGTGGGTTAAAGGTTAGATCTAGGTTTCTAATCTATTTTCTTGCAGTATTGGTTTGTCTCTTACCCTTTAAAAGAGATAACATAATGGAGGATCTCAAGATGATTCTTGTGGAGTGGATGTAGACGAGTTATTATCAAACCACTATAAATTCCCATGTTATTCTTCTTTTAAATTTTCGAAGTCATGCTTGATATTATTCTAATTACACATCTGTTTATGATTTTAGAAATACAAAGTTGTTAATGTTTTCTAATTCTAAAAGTAAAAAAGGCTTATCTCTGTGGATCATTAGAATTCTGGATTTCAGTACAGTGATTTCTCCAAGTTCTAATTATGCTTATTCATTACGAAGAAACTAGAATCTGAATTATAATCAATTTTCTAATCTTTGATAAGCTCTGTGAGAAAGTTCTAATCGTGATAACTATCTCTTACAAAGCTTTTCTAATTCCGCTATTTTAGAATTCTGACTTGTGTTTTTAAAAGATAAATTTTTAGAAAATCCAATTTACTTCCCTCTTGGGTTGTGCCATATAAAACAAGATCCACAATCATAATCTGGCATCAGCGCTTAAACTTTTGACTTACCAAAGTTTAACCGCTTAAGAGAAAAGATCCTATGGCTGCCCCATTATCTCTTACATCTTTAGAAGGTTAATCAATTTCTTGATCACCTTTGTTGAATGGATCTAATTGACAGTGATTTTTCGCAAGTGTACGAAAATCGCAACAAGTAATATAGAATGAGTAGAGTATCGTTTCCATAGGAATTGTATACCAAGTATCAAAATTATGTTAACCTATTATTATTTAAATGGCAATAAGGATAATTATTTTAAGAAATTAAATTAAACAAATAAAAAAAACAAAAAGAAATCAAACCAGGGATTTTGACTTCACTTCATTCTATCCAATTTATTTTATTAGTTTGATAATCAATTTTAATTGTTTAAGTTGGGGAGACAACCCTAAAATCACTAACAAGCTCTCCCGATGTATTGTTAGCTATTTCAACCCGGTCTAATTACTTATCTTTCAATAGCGCAATCAAACATGAATTAAATCATTAAGTTTCTTTCAATAGCGCAATCAAACATCGAATTTAAATCATTTAAGTTTTAATGGTTGTTTAATGAATTCCATAATCCTAAGTCATTAACTTATGAAAACCCCCATGAGTCAAATACATTATGCTTCCGCATCAAAGTTATTATTTCTCATGTAATTATTACCTATTCCATATCAAAAACCCTTTTCCCGATAGTGATATGAAAAATAATATCATCAAGGGGAGAAAATTCTTCCATGGAAGCATCAAGTTCATAATAAATTTATATCATGAACAAAAGGAAAGCAAAATCTAATATTATAAATTAGAATCAAAATTAAGGCTAACATCAAATCCTAGTATGAGAGGTTTTAGTTCAACATAGTAATTAATAAAACTCATTAAACTTGTAAATATTCTTCAAATCAACATGAATATTGAAAATAAAACCAAGAAAAGAGTTTAAGAAAATAAAAACTAGTTTAATAATTGGCTTGGGCGGTCTTCCTTGAATACTTGACACAGAATCTTGAATACTTGACGTCAATCTTGAATACTTGAAGTCTTGGAAAGAGAGAGAAAACAATAGAACAAAAGATGGAATATACAATGAATGGCTCCCTATGACTAGTCTCTCTATTTATATAAACTTTTTGGAGTATCTTTGTATTTGTTTAGGAAAATGAATCTTTATTGAGTAAAAAATCTTTTGGAGATAGGAAACTGTTCAGGCTTCGTATTTATTCCCAATTAGGAATCTCAACGTCTAAATAGGATTAAAACTTGATTTTCACGTCAGGAAATCATCTCATATGGGTCCATGCAAGTGTTGCAGGATGGGCTGATGTTTTAGGCCCAAGACAAAACCTGAACTTTGGCACGGGCGTGCTGTGAGGCAGGGCTAGCGTGTGCCAGCCTCTGAGAGTTTTACTTACTTTACTCTTTTCTGTGTCAAAATCTTACAAATTTCCTTAACATCAAGTAAATTATGATTAAAGGAAGCTTTGAACAAAAACATAAATAAAACTAATTAAAGTAATTAAAACTACTAAAATTCCTAATTAAAACTATATTAAAAATACTATAAAAATAATATCTACCACTAATTACTCTTACTAAAAAACTAGAAAGGAAAACTTCATTAAATCAATTGATATTAACTGTTGAAGAATCATTATTAATGGTTCTCGTATTCCTATGAAAACTATTGAAAATAAAATAGTTTCAAAAACAGACGAAGAGTACAATGATGCAGATTGGAATGATGTCTCTGTAAATGCAAAAGATATAAATATTTTGGAAAGAATATGAAATGTTTAACACGAAAGAATAAGAGTTTATCTAGAAAATGAAATTTCTGAAGACAAGCTTGTTAAGAAATTCTTTAAAAACCCAAAAAGTGGAATTCTCATGGGGCAGCCCTCCCCTTTGAATAAGATTCAAATTGGTGATAACTTTATGGTGGAGAAGGCCGTTATCGTGGTGGAGAGGACTCGAGGACTCGAACTCCTCTACCTTTGTTACGAGAGGTAGGAAGACCAATCAGACCATACCACGTACACTTTGTTTCATCTGAGTTGGTTTTATCCAAAAATTTTAATTTAGTCTATTTACGTTGGTTTAGATTTAAATTAAACTGATTATATGTGCACACTTACCTATATTTTTATTGAAAACAATTACCCATATATATATATTTATATTGAAATGTATTTATTAGATGATATTTGTGGTATTGTGCATAACTAGAGTGAAATTAAATTTCAATTTACAAGTTGAATTGAATTATCTATAAATATAATGTTTTCTTTTATCACTTTACTAATTAGTCATTGCATTAACCTTAATGTTAATATGAAATAATGTTTAATGTTATCAAAATTTAAATAATATAGGACGAATATTATAATTATAATTAATATTATAAATAATAAATAAGTACAAACAAACGACTAAAATAACGAACAATACAACGTCCACGTTGTAAAAGAAAACAAGCAAGAGGGAAAATGTGAAATCCTAAAAGTTCAGCCCAAGGCATTTTAGTTATTTTCTAAGTAAAGAAAGAAACTCCAAAACCTTCGGCTGTAGGGACAATCGCAGAATTAGATAGAGAGATCAAGGGAGAGAGATGAACAATTATAGCAGAAGAAGTGACGAAGAAGGAGAGAAGGGTTTGCTTTGGAAGCTTCCAGAGGTGAGGTTTAAAGAGTTGGGGAAGGTTGGACCTGCTTTCGGTCTTGGCGCCGGCTGCGGTGTTGGCTTCGGCGTCGGCCTTGTCGGAGGTAAGAATCACTTCTTTTGCTGCCTTTTCTCTCCTTTTCTTTATTGGTTTGTTTTCTAATCACTCTCTAATAGGGGTTGGCTTGGGTCCTGGCATCCCTGGTTTACAATTGGGTTTTGGGTTTGGTGCTGGATGTGGGATTGGGTATGGATTTGGTTATGGAGTGGGTAAAGGTGTGGCTCATGATGAGAATCGGAGATATTCTAATGTTGGAAAGTTCCTCAATGGTCCAGCAAATCTTCCAACACAGTAAGTATATTACATTTTGACTTGCTAATTCATTACGCTTTTCCTGTTATTCAACTGCAATATTAAGTTTTCTAATTGATAGGCTAAAGAGGAAGTTGAAGCAATAAAACGATAATGTTGTTTTGTTTAGAAAAGGGAGCTTCTGTTATCATAGCCAAGATGGCTGTGATCATAACTTCTTCAAATCTTTAGTCTAAATTGCTTGGTAAAGACGAAATTGGTAGCCGTAAATGAAATTAAGGATGTTACTTTCCAAATCCCTCTGCCCACCTTGCACACATTTCTCATCTTTCTCAAGCCTTAGTCCGGAAAACTGCCTGCTAATCCGCAGATTCTTCATTTGAACCAAGAAAAGGATATCAGTGTTCCACACCTTTACAACTTGATCAAAGAAATATTTTAAGGAATCAATTGGAATATTGAAAGATTGTATTGACTTTATTTTTTGTCAATCTTATGTATAGATGCTAATTTTTGAAAGGCATTTAGCTGTATTGGTACTTGGTGTAAGGAATTGCTTGATTGTTTTGGATCACAAAGAAAACATCTTCAAATTCAAAGCCAAAACTCGATAAAATGTCATTGCAATGTTGAGGAATAGTTGAAAGGAAATGGAGGAGGAACTTATCAGGGACATCATAATCGAATTGCATAAAAATTGGTTTTTTTCCCCTTTTCAATTGTACCCTCCTTAGTCAGAAGTGAGAAAAGATAACTGAGAAAATATTCCATGTCAACTTGACAAGAGAATCATGTTATTAGTACCTTATTCTCTTTCATTGACTCCAATGATCATTGGTTGGCTGACAAATTCTTCCCTTCAATTTTGGGAAAAGATTTTTAGGTTTGAGAGAGCGAAAGCAAACAATATATTTCCACTCTTGAGATACTTCTTCTTTTATTTGTTTATTTATTTATTTGACTCTTTTAATGATTCTTGATAGAGAAAGTGAAAGGGATAAGGAGATAAAAAGTAAAGTCTAGTTTTATTGACTAGCATCACTAAATTTTGGATATGGCTTTTCTTGAGACTTGGTGTTCATTCCTAAAAGGAAAAAGAAGTGTTCATTATTCATGGATGCTATAATAATGTTCTAACTCACAGGTGATTGGCTATCTTACTAAGTTCCTCTAAATCAACTAAGGATCTCTGCTGTTGCATTTTTTGGATTCTATAATATGTACCAAATGTAGAAACATTGGTTAGAATGTGAGATGAGAGCAAATTTAATCAAAATTTTCTAACAAAGCTTTAAACATCAAATTAATTTTTGGACTTGATAAGGGTTTATCACATTATGTGGTGTATGAAAGAATCATGTTAAACATGTTGCCAAATAAGGGTGGTTCTACATGTTTGTCTCATAGAGTTCAAAATCATTGTGAACGCCTCAATCACTGAAAGCAAGTTTTGGTTTTATTATGAAACTTGTACATGTGTTGTATCAGGCAGTGATTGCTTTAACCATTGCAATCTCTTTCTCTCTAGCCTCTCTATACACATGCACGTTTGTAATGCTAGTTTCTCTTTTATAATTCCCATGTATCATGTTTCTTGGGTGAAGGATGTTTTGTTAGAGACTTAGGAGTTATGCCACTGTTTGGCATTTAATGGTTATTTGTATGTATAGAATTGGGCCTAATACACAGAAATACCCCAACTTTACAACTTATTGTAATTGCATTTAATCTCAACTTTTTGACAATCATATCCTAAGATGAAAGTTTGAGAATTTTTTCTCACTTGAGCATAATTAGTTTAGGGTTAGGGATTGAAAAAAGACTATTTTCAGTGGGGCCCACATATGAGTTTGGTTTAAAATTAGCCCAAGCTCAGTTGAACACTGCAAACGACAACATTTTGCAAAGGAGAAAACCCAAAGTTATTTTTTCTCTCTCAGCTCTCTTTGGTTGCTCTCTCTCTCTCTCTCTCTCTCTCTGTCTGATTTCCCATCAACCTCTGGGTCTTAGATAAGCATAAATTAATTAAATTGTGCAAAATCTAATACTAGAAATGAAAATAGCCAAAGATTTTAAATTTTATATGAGAACTTAGTAAAGAGAGGCATATTTGCAGAGAAAGCTAATATCAGTAGCTTGAAAGAAATAAAATCAGGAATTTGAAAGATTTGCAGAGAATTCAATTGAAGAAGTGAATTGGAGTACAAAAAGAGAGAGAGAAAAAACAAAAAGAGAGAAGAGAAAAAGGAGGAAATTTGATACTGCCTCTTTGAAAGCTGCCTCCAAAAACCTAGGAGAACTAAAGAAAGGGTGCTTAATCACATTGTTAAAAACAAGAACATAGAGCAACAGAAGAGAGACTATAGATATATGTGTGTAGAGAGGAGGGAGAGAGAGAGGGGGTGGGAGACAAAAGCTTAAAGTGGCAGTGGTAAAAGCTTAAAATGGCAGTGTTTCCATGAAGGTTTGAGCAAGTTGAACACTGAGATCTCTAAGAGCTTGAAGAAAGAGAGAGAGAGAGAGGGAGAGCTTGAAGAGAGCTGAGAAGAGAGACAATAATTAGGGATTTTTAGGCATAATAAGGCAGTGTTTTTTGGGTATTTAACCGAATTTGATCTCCGAGAAAATTATATTTTTAATATAAATTGTTTTTTAATGTAAACCCTACACTAATTATGCTCTGGAATGCAAGAACTCTCTATTCCATTTTAAGTATGGTTGTCAAAAAGTTGAAATTATCATGCAATTCCAATAAGTCGAAAAATTAGGGGTATTTCTGTGTATTTGTCCTATAGAATTGTAAACAATTTAGTTGTATACAAAAAAGTTGAACAGCATGCGTTGGAATTTGAATTTGGATTTGGTTATTTCGACTCTTTCCATGACTTCAAAATACCAGTTTGACATTTCGAGCAAGTAAAAATACCTCTAAGAATTTGAAATAGTTGGATTTTGATTTTTATCCTACGAGTCTTCAGTAGATTACTCTAGGTTTAAGTAACATAAGATTGTGGAGTGGATTTCAAAACCATTGAGTTCCACAAAGTTGGGGATATGAATATCACAATTTCATTAACAACTTCTTCTTTATATTTCTTTTTTCTTCTTATTGTCAGGGATGAGATTGGTGCCCTTGTCGATGAGCTAGTCATCAACACCAAGAAGCTAGTCAGAGCAACTTCAAGAGAAATTGAGAAGTGGAGAAAATGAGTCAACTTTCTGTACAAAAATCACATTATTTAGGAACTTAATAATGGTGCTGCAGCTATTGTATGCTAATGTACATATAATTGCATTTACTGCGGTTGAAATTGCTGAAGATGCATCTTTTCTTGGTGTTTTTCATTATATTATAGAAGGTAGGTTTTTTCTTATTTAGTGGGAATTGTTTTGTAAACCCTTTATTGGTTCATCCATCGCTTCTACGGAAAACATAGTTCCCAAATGCTAAAGCATGCTGACCAAACTTTGGCATTTGATGCGATTCCTAAGGTGTTTTTGAGAAGCCCACGCTCTATCTAACATCAAGCAGCTCCTTTGATATTACCATATTTAAAGTTAATTAAAATCTTTTGTTTATTGGATTATAAATATGTTTTCGGCATTTTAAAACTTTTTTGTTAAACACTATAAAAATAATAACTTGGTGGTGGTCACAGCCATGTGTCATGTCCAGAGTTGCTGCCATTTTGAGTGGTGAAGGACTAATCTCATGGGATTCATGGATTAATAAATACTATACTTAACTAAATTTTTTGGAAAATATTTATTTATTGTTCCCAAAAAATTTAAAAATTTTTAAAAGTTTTAAAGAGTCGAAGGAACAGATTGTACTGTGCTATCTGGATTTTAGTGGATTTAACTAATTATCAAATAGTAATCAAGATTTAATTATATAGAGTAGAATAGTAATAGCAAGACAACAAATTGACTTGATCCACATAAAAAGGAATGACGACAATTTGGATAGGACATCGTGTAATATTATCCAAACCCAAAGCAATGGCATTCCACGTCAGCATCATAATCTGCCACGTAAGTATATCTGCCCTATCAAACTTCAGCTTCAGATTACTCATCCTTCCTCACCAGCCAATCACAAGAATCCTACGTGGAATGTCTGTATCCACCAGCTCAAGCTTATAGTATCTACGTTTCTCACCTTCTGGTTTACACTAGTTCAATATCAGAAACAACTCAAAAGTAAATTAGCAGCACCAGAAGCAGAGACAAATGGCTTCCTTAGCAGCTTCTACGCCTGCTGCCTCCCTCGGAGTATCGGAAATGCTCGGAAACCCTCTCAACTGCGGCGCCACCAGGTCTGCTGCTCCTGTACCATCAACTCCTGCAACTTTTAAGACTGTTGCTCTTTTCTCAAAGAAGAAACCTGCTACACCTCCCAAATCAAAGCCAGCCGCAGTTTCACTAATCGACGATGAGCTTGCCAAGTGGTATGGTGAGTATATAATCGATTCTTTCTACACATTTTTTCTTCACTTGTATAAATAAAAATAACCCTGTAAATGAATTTTAACAAAATGCTTAATCTTTGTTTTCAGGTCCTGACAGAAGGATTTTCTTGCCGGAAGGGCTCTTGGATCGGTCTGAGATCCCAGAATACTTGACTGGAGAGGTTCCCGGAGAGTAAGGCCTCCTAAATTTGTTTTCTTTTCTTTTTTTACATGGTTAAGGAAGGATCTAATTAGGATCTCTTTTGCTCTCATGGAGTTTGATTGACTTGTTGTGTGGTTGATGCAGTTATGGTTATGATCCTTTTGGGCTTAGCAAGAAGCCAGAGAACTTCGCCAAGTATGTCAAATCTCTCTCTCTTTCTCTCTCTCTCAATGTACACTTATGAGGTTTCACTAAGAAAGGGAAACTTTTTATATATGATTACAGATATCAGGCATATGAGCTGATTCATGCTAGATGGGCTATGCTTGGAGCTGCTGGGTTCGTGATTCCAGAAGCCTTCAACAAATTTGGTGCCAACTGTGGCCCTGAAGCCGTCTGGTTTAAGGTTTTCATCTTTTCTACTGTACTGAGACATTTTCATTAAACATTCTTGTGCTAATGATTCGAAAAATTATGATATTGCAGACAGGAGCTCTGCTTCTTGATGGAGGCAAGTTGAACTACTTTGGAAACCAAATTCCAATCAATCTGATTGTTGCTGTTGTTGCTGAAATTGTTCTTGTTGGTGGTGCTGAATACTACAGAATCATCAATGGCTTGGTATTATTCTACCGTCTCTAATATGTCTTTTATTATAAAATATCATTAGCTACTAATGCATTGCACCCAATAGTCATTTTGATCTAAAAGTTTCAGAAATTCTTTTAAGATAGTGAATAATAGATTCTTACAATGGAAATCTTTAAAGGGCTAAACTTCATTTCAAAAAATATGAAACATCAGTTTCAGACTCAAGATTTCAGTTTATTTCTTGGGGAACATTTCAGTGGAAATCTGTACAAAAAGTTCATAGAATACTTGCAAAGTTGTTCTTTTCTTAGAAAGAATTTGTTTTTGAATATTTTGTTAGGATTTGGAAGACAAGCTTCACCCAGGTGGTCCTTTTGACCCACTGGGGCTAGCAAAGGATCCAGATCAGGCAGCACTATTGAAAGTGAAGGAGATAAAGAATGGAAGACTTGCAATGTTTGCAATGTTGGGATTCTTTCTCCAAGCTTATGTGACAGGAGAAGGACCTGTTGAGAACCTTGCAAAACATCTCAGCGATCCATTTGGAAACAACTTGCTTACTGTTCTTGCTGGTTCTGCTGAGAGAGCTCCTACCCTGTGAATTATTTTCATTTATTTTTTGATTTTCTAAATGCATGCTTTGTACATCATCTTTTGAGGCAATTAACTCCAAACGCCCCCTTTTTATAGAGGTCTTCCTTTAATTAATCATTTATTAAAATATGATATTGTTATGCTTGCTTTCAATTTGTATGTCCTTGCTTGCTAAAATTTCACTTCAGTAAACCACCAAGGGGCTTCGTAAAGGGCGCTTTACCCCTTCGTGGTCTAGCCGGTGCAAATCCAAATACCTACTGAAAAAAGAACGGATTTGTAAATGTTAAGAAACCATTCAATCTCAGAAATCCAAACTTCGAGCCAAAAGCTCAAACTCCAGACTAAAACCGGCAATATGGGTTTGATCTGTTAACAATTTCTTAATGCTTGTTGAACATCTTTTTTTTTTTTTTTAATAATCCGTTTCAACATAAGGGAATCGAAATACAAAATATTGAAAGGATTACATTACTCAAGAGGGGGAGACAAAAAAAATATGCCAAAAGCCTCCAAATGAACCCCCCAGACAAAAAAAAAAGAGAACAAAACTGCCCTACAATGTACAAGAAAAATATACAGTCCTAGGGAACACAATGTGTCATTCGAACACTTCCAGTTCCTATTGCCTCACTCCTGCAAGTTAATGTTCTAGATACACGAGGTACCTCCTTAAAATCTGGGACCCTTTCACATTTCTCGCGGTATGAGTTCATACATCTTATGCAGATAAATGTAACTTTATCAGCACTATCAATCCCAGCACACCTTGTATGCTGCCAAACACCACAGGTATCACAAGCCAACATTTTCTCACCATCGTCATCTTTAGCTCCACAAGGACAATCAACCGTCCACCTCTCTGTTCCTCTTTCCATTCGAAAATGGCTAAGTGCATGCTTTGATGGGCATGTGCCTTTAATCTTAACTGATCCACTTGTTCCAAGAAGAAATTTCAGGGTAATTGAATCCTCTAAAGAACCATATTCGCTGAGTTCATGAGCTTCAAACTTCTTAAACATTGCATACACTTCTTGAAAAACTTTAGTGGCTTCATTCTTAAGATCAGCAACAGTAGCATTTAAAGGCAAGACAATTAGTTCCGGAGGTATGATTGATGGATCATCTTTAGGTTGATCTGAAAGCTCTATGTGACAGAAAAGATGAATGGCGGATGGAATACTTCGTATCATTTTGTCAGGTAGGTAATCCTTCATAAATTGTTTGCAATCAAGAATTGTTGTTGCAGCATCAGTCACACTTTCTCTAGTTACTTGAGGTCCATAGTTCACTATAGTTTTAGGGTCAAGTAAAGAATCAAGTATAAATTTAAGATCACGTTTGATGACCTCTAGTGACCGTTGAATTTTGTCCGAACCATCTCCATGATGTACATGACTTAGTGTGACAAGTCTGTTAGCATAAAGAAAAGAATAAATTTATTCAGAAAAAAAATTCCAAAAGAGGTTATGAAATAAGTACGGCATTTGTCTCAACTACCTGTATTCAGCATCATATGAATCAGGATTGCATCGGGTCTGAACCACCATGCCATTAGCTGCCAACTTCCCCCCTAAGTGTTTGAGGCAATAATCAAGAAGCTCTGGAGATGCTCTTTTATACATGACACCCTTTAGAGCATGCCTCGACACCCAATTGTTCACACCAGATGCTGCTTCCACCACCTTGATCATAGTTTGCTGAACACATTCAACATCATTCCTTGTCCATGCACACAAAGCATTTGAAGCATAAGATCCCAAGTTCTTTTCTGTTGCTTTGGCCAATAACAGATCATTACTCTCATGGATTAACTTCAGCAAAAAGAAGCAAAGATCCTTTAACGTTACAAGCTCCAAATCTGACAAAGAACAGTAAAAAGCAATAACAGCCTGCAACTGTGTACGCGGCTTTCGCCTCTGAAACAAAAGTGGGGTTAGGGGCACTTTTGAGAGAGTCTCTACTGCTTTCTGGTAGGAATCTGAGGTGAGTGCATAGCTTCCACGTTGAAATTCATAACCCCAATTACCATACCATGAACAACCTTTAGTGATTGCATGCAGTAATCTATACTCCATCCCGTATTTTCTTGACACATCCATCACTGATACCTTTCTGTGCAACAATACACATTCAACATTAGAAGCTTGCAATGCTAAATGGAGTGAAATGGGCATAAATCAGCCATAATCAAATCTTACATTCCATACTTTTTAAGATTTTCCTTTCTATATTTCTATTTTAACTTAAATCAGTCATGGTCAAACCAAAATTACATATTCACCTTGTGTTGATTTTGACAGAGAAAATTATTTGCCACGTACTATCATGTCTAAATTTATGCAGGATACAACAATACAAGGCAAAAACATCAACAGCTACGTGGTTTGTTATTTATGTAGCAACATATAATCAATTATGCAAAAGAACACAAAACTAAGACAAGATTAAAAGCATGCACCCTTTTAAATATCAAAGTCAACGACTCTAATTTGGATTAGTTATTTGCACTTGCTATTGCTACCATTATTAGCATTAGTTTCAACAATGATTAACGAAACTAGATAACTAAGCATCCAGCAAACTGGATATAATCCCAGGACAGCCAAAAAATTTAGCACGAAGATATTAAATAACTTGAACAGTCTTCACCTATGATTTTAGAAATTCTGAGAATTTAAACTTATATGCCAATAAAATTCCATGATAAAAAGCAATTTGGGTAATGAAGAAAATAATTGTAGTTTTATACTATAATAGGGGAAAAAAGGAAACAAAAAAAAAAACCTCGCTTGTGCTAACTGTACCAGAGTATAGTGTTTGAAGAAGGCCAAACCTGATTGCAAGCATTGCACAGAGCCTATCCCAAAAGTCCATAATGTGAGATCCAGTAAGAATATTAGAACCACCTTCTCTTCCATTGACTCTAAGAAGGTGACCAAACCCATTGGAGTGAACAACACCATGCAATAGATGAGTATTATCTTCAAATTGGGAATACAGCCAATCTTCCATATCCACATCGTCCCCATTAATTACAGTATCACACCACTTACACCTGTTACACCATCAAAATCAAGTAAGACAGTTTCTGTTTTATGTTCTAATTATTTATAAAACTAGTCATATCTAAAAAACTGAGACTATGTTTGGTAAGTTACACTAAAATGCAATAATTACATCACATTAAGGCTTATCAAAAATAGTCTAATGGGTCTCTCACCTCGATTCTGATATATCTAACAAACTGCTGCATTTAATGCACAACTTTTGATGCTCATCTGAATTATGGCTGCTTGTAGCTCTTATTATAAAGTGGTACCGTTTTCTACAAACTGGATGCCCACTCCATCCTTTAAAACCAAAACCCATTTGCATATTAGCTCTTTATTTTTTTATTATTATTATATAATATTAGCTTTTAATTTTTTATTTATTATTAGCTTTTTTTTAATTTTTAAGAGATCAGAGCGAGAGGACTCACCGACCACCTGGCAATGGTTGCAGTAGGCGGATCTGGCGGTTCTAGTTACGTCTTCTTCGACTATATCAAGTAAAACCACGACCGGCGAGAGATCTGGACCGTCCACCAGATCTCCGACACGAAACACGATCTGCCACATAAGCAGGCTTGGAAAAAGTGGAGGGGGGAAAGAAACGCGTGCATGGCGAGATAGAAACTGTTTAATGTTATCCCGGAATGGACTCGACGGCAACTGTTCCTCCGCCACTCCGGTCGGAAACGTGTAGAAGTCGTAGAGATTGGCAGTGACTCTGTTTTTCCTGGGTCTTTTTAGGGGCCTGTCGTTCACTACCATTGTCTATAAGTTAAAACGACGTTACTTTTCGAATTTGAACGTCGCGTGTAGCGTTTGTATATATAGAGAGGGGTTTTAGAGGGCGAGAGGGACAAGGAAAAGGATATGGAAAAGAAGGGGTTTTAGGATTTCTATAAAAACAGTTTGGCGGTTCGACACATACATTTGCTTTCTCCTTTTAAATTTTTTGGTTAGCGCTTTGGCGGTTCGGGCATTTTAATGTAAATTTTTTTGTTTTTATTTTTTCTGGTCAAATTCCAAAACCCCCTTAACTTTTGTTCTATTCAATTTAGTCCCTGATTTTTCAAAATTGGTTTTTTAATCCCTAATAGTTTGGGCAAAGCAGCTTTGACGGTTCTGGCCCTTTTAAATTGTTTTCTTTTTTCTGATTAAATTACTAAAAACCCCTCAAATTTTGTTTTATTAATCTTTGATTTTTGCTGATTAAAGTATTTTTAATCCCTTCATTTTGACCAAACATGACACTTTGATCCTTTAACAATTTAGGCTTAGTCAAACATTAAAGTCTCCCGATTAAGTGAAGAAATTACACCTGTAAATTGTTAATTGTTCCTCTTCGTTAAAGACTAGTAATCTTCTTTGGAAGTTACAAACTAAATCTATAATAGGGATTTATAAATTCAAACCAATTCAAATCATATAAGATACTAAATCAATAAAAGTTATAATGTAATTAAGTTCAATTTCGATAGTTCAATTTTTCAAGATATATATATATTTGTCGGCTCTTCTTCACTTGGGGTTGTAGTATGTTCTAAGGGTTGAATTGTTCACCGATTAAAATGATATGTGAGTTGGATTTAGAACATCGTGAGATAGTTCGGTCCATGTTCTATGGGTGTGAGACCATTAAGACGACCTTCCTAGTATGAAAGGATAGGGAAAGATGCACCTTTGATGTACCAAATATCGTGCCCACGGTAAACATCGGGTAGCCAAGTGAGGAGCAAATAGTGTTGCAATTCTTCTTGTTAGGCATCAGCTCTGATACCAATTGTTGGGCATCAGCTCTGATACCACTCGTTGGGCCCTTTCAAAGAATTAAGAGAAAATTAACGCAGCAAATAGTGTTGCAATTCGTTCTTGTTAGGCATCAGCTTCTGATACCAATTGTTTGGGCATCAGCTCTGCATACCACTCGTGGGCCCTTTTCAAAGAATTAAGAGAAAATTAACGCAGTTGAAAAATAGAAATGGGACACAATGGGACACACAGAAATTTACGTGGTTCACCCTCAACTGTTTAGGGCTACGTCCACGGGACAAACTCCGAATCATTCTTCCACTATTAAAAATAGCAGGTACACAGAGAGTAATACAAAAATAGTGGCACTCAAAGTGTTTTCCAAAAACACCCCAAAACAATTTCCTCACTATTTTTCTCTCCCCTAGTTTTAGGAAACCCTTTCTAAAACTACATAACCCTTTCTAAATTTTTTTTTTGTTTCTACTGTTGTGTTTTGCTTGAGGCTTCGCTACCTCTATTTATAGGAGAGGTTACGAGAGAGCCGTGTATAACTCATTCATGTATAACTCATTCACGGCTCTCCATTTTTGTCAAAAAATTGCATGCCAATTTTTACTTTCCTTTTTCTTCTTCCGCGGCCTTCTTTGACTGCCAAAAAACGTGTGTTTTATTTTTTTTTCTTTTCAAATGTATGTCGGTCCCACATGTCAGAGGGACCCCACAAGAATTCTCTCCCTCCCGATGACATGGTGGGATTGTCCATTCCTGCCGCTTTAACACTCAGTTTGGACTTCTCCTTTTGCCTCAGCTGTTGACAAAGCAACACACTTATGTAATTTTGACTGCCACGACACGGCTTCCCCTGCAAATGTGATTGGATATCATGAAAATCCATTTCACTGCAGTACAATGTTCCTTTTCAGGATTTGAAAGAAACCGACTCACTACTATTTGAAAGAAACCGACTCACTACTCCAACTGAGTGAGCTATATCTAGCCGTGTACAAACCATGGCATACATCAAGCTTTCAACTGCTGAAGCATAGGAATCTTTTCCTTTTCTTCCTTCTATACATCCGTAGAAGGGCACTGTTTAGAACTCAATTTAAAGTGATTAGTAAGAGAACAACTAACCGCTTTAGCGTTTTCCATTCAAAACCTTTAAAGTACTTTCTCAATGTACTTCTACTATGACAACCATAATTTCTTGGCTTTTCGATCTTCATGCCAAGAATTTGCTTTGCTGGTCCCAAGTTTTCATGGCAAAAGACTTACTTAGCTATTTCTTCAAGCTAGAATTCTGACCAACAATCAACATATCAACCACATAGAGCAAAAACAATGTAGTCATCATCAGAGAGAATTTCTTCATAGAAACATAATGATCTGAAGTAGGCTTTCTGTAGCCTTGCTCCCCCATGACAGACCTCAAACTTCTTGTTACCTCTGTCGTCAGTGCCTGCTTCAAGCCTTACAGGCTCTTCTTCAGTTGCAAACCACAATCCTCTTTTCTAAGAAACTCTTTTGGACTGCTCCATGTATATCTTCTTCCCAAATCTCCATGTTAGGAAGGTTAGTCTTTCCATCCATTGCTCGATTTCCAGTTCAAAACTCGGCGGCCAATTTCGAGCGCTGTTCGAATTGGATGTCCAATTTCACAAACTGGTGAAAAAGAGTCAAAAATCAATACCCTTTTCTTTGGAGTGAATTCCTTTAACAACCAGTTCAGCTTTGACTCGTGGTGGGAGCTGTGTTCTTCCCGGCTTGATCGTCTGAACACCCACTTTGTTCTTCAAAGCTTTCTTGCCTCTTGGGGCAAACTTCACCAGCTCAAATGTTTCAATCCTCATGCAATGACTTCATTCATCTTGCATGGCTTCAAATCCAGTTCCTCGTTGTGGTTCATTTTTCCATAGCTTCTTCAAAAGCTTTCAGGTTCGTCCCCCGTCAGTCGTCAGTACATACTCATTGACTAGATAATCTAGTACATGGTTTGTCAGACTCTACTAGATACTTCTTAATGTTTGAGAACCTTCCGGTGCTGCGTGGTTGAACATGGAACCACTATAAATCTTCATCTGGGGTTTCCATTCTTATTAAGTAACTTCTGGTTTTCTAACTTCTCGCATTATTCTTGGTGGAACATTTGTCTTCATTCTCTTCATCTCCAATTTGTCTGCGTTCTATTGGAGGGACTCTCTGTATGTCTGTTGAGTCTTCATCAGATCTATTGGCACTCTGCTTTAATATCTTCAATAATCTGATCTTCAACAAATACAGCATCACGATTTCTTATAATCGTCTTCTGGATTGGGTCATAAAACCTATAGCCATTGGTCTTGGCCATAGCCAATGAATACATACCGTCTAGTCTTGAGATCAAGCTTAGACCGTTCATCCTTCGGGACATGCACGAAGGCTTTGCAACCAAACACCCGCAACTAATCGTATTTGCAACCAAACACCCTCAAATGATCATAGGAAACATCCTTTCCTGACCATACTCTCTCTGGAGTATCATACTGTAGAGGGAAACAAGGTGAACGATAAACTGCTGTGAGTAAAGCGTCACCCCAAAATCTCTTAGACAACTTTGCATATGAGAGTAAACATCACAATCTCTCCATCAAAGTTCTAATCATCCTCCCAGCCAAACCATTCACTTGCGGCGTCTTGGGAGGTGTTGTTTGATGTCGAATGCCATGCTATTTGCGGAAAGCATCAAATGACCCAGTGTATTCTCCACCATTATCTATCCTGATACACTTCATTCCTGATACACTTCAGCTTCTTGCCTGTCTATCTCTCAACCAAGTTTAGAAGACTTCAATATGTATACCCAGGTCTTCCTAAAATGGTCATCGATAAATATCACAAAATATCGATTTTCACCATATGACATTGTCAATGCTCCACACAAATCTGAACGAATCAGATCTAATACATTCTTCATTCTAGAAGGAGGGGTAATCTTGAAAGCTACTCTATTTCGCTTTCCCGCCATACAATCAGGACACTTGTCTGGGTGAACTTCATCCAATCCAGGTAGTACGTTCTTTCTTGCCAGAGTTTTCTTACTCATGTGGTTTATGCCCACAATTCAAACTGCGGTACTATCATTTTCTCCGTTGCACTCAAAGTGGTCAAAGTGTCTTAGGAGAGTTTCGCATGCATCACGTACAGCTTTCGGTCTTTAGCTACCACAAATGAACCTTTTGTGAGCTTCCACTAACCATTTCTAAAGGTGCTACAGAAACCTTCATCATCAAATCTACCAACTGAGATTTGGATGCATGCTCAAAAGCCCATTCCTCATCAGTCATCTCTTCCGGTTTCGTTGAACTAAACACAGACAAATGCATTTTGATTACCATAAGGAGGTCTCTCATTTCTCCATATATGGTAATTCCCGCCATTTAGACTGATCATTTTGCTTGTCCATTTTGCTTGTCCATTTTGACTTGTGCAGAATATCATCACCAACATAAACCGTATACGTGAACAGTAGTATACGTGAATAGTGACCGTGAATAGTAATAGTATACTCAAATAGTAACTGTATGCATCAATAGTAACTGTACACATAAATAGTACTATGCGTGAATAGTGCTGGACTTACTTGAAACGGACTCAACAATGGTAACGCCAATAGTACTGTTCACCGTTAACCTTCAGTTACTATTTTACTATTCATCACTAAGTCGATTCTGCAACGTCTTTCCGAGCGGACAGCACCAATGGACTCGTCGTAATTTTCTCTTCGTCGCTCTTCGTCGTTGGTATAATTTATTTTCATATATCCACAGATCCAGTGTCCGCTATTTGATCGGCTGGACCTGCTGAAACCTTTCGGCTCTGATATCCACTTGTTAGCATCAGCTTCTGATAACCAGTTGTTGGGCATCAGCTCTGTGCCACTCGTGGGCCCTGTCTCAAAGAATCTAAGAGAAAATTTAACCGCCCGGTGGAAAATAGAAATGGGACACACAGAATTTATGTGTTTCACCCTCAACTTGTTTAGGGCTACGTTCCACGGGACCAAACTCCTAAATCATTCTTCCACTATTAAAAATAGTAGGTACACAAGAGAAGTAATACAAAAAATAGTGGCACTCAAAGTGTTTTCCAAAAACACACAGAGAGTAATACA